GGGCGGCTCTGCTCTGCCCTGCGCAGCCGAGTGAGGGAGTGAAGCCGGTTGCTACAGGCAACCGGGAAGCCCGTGGTGGCGAGCGGGGCCGGTGGGTGTTGGTTAGGCCTTGCCGTGTGGGGGAGCTTGGCCGGGCGCCTTGCAGAGGAGCAACCGGGTGTGCCTGCGGTGAAAGGGGCCTGTCCCTTCCGAAGGAGTCTCTCCCGCGTCCCTCCTGCACACGCCCGCAGTCGTGAACAAAGTCTGTGAGGAAACTTGGAGTTACTCAGTCTGAGGGAGAGTCCTGTGCTTGTAAACCTCGCTGCTAATTGGAGTTGCACAGGTCCACTTTTCTTCTGGTGTGAAAGTTGTGTGTATGGAAGGGAGAGGCACACATAGTGTAAAACTCACTCTAAACTCTTCAAAAAAACTGCCATGAGGTGTACCAGTATTTGCATTTTAAAATCTATTAATGATGTTCATAGTTTAAACTGATGGTCATCCTTTGCTGTCAGAAAATAATGGTTACAAAAGCTGACAGTACAGGAGGTCTTGCAGCATACTCGGGGGTAGGGGTTTTTCTTCTCTACACGTTTTTCTAAACACAGGTTCTTGTTTCTAAATTTCCAAATGCACTGCAGTACTGGGAAAGTACTTAGGCCCTCAGCTTTTTTCCTCGAATATGTACGTCAATTTACTGAGCTTTTGTTACACCTTGATTATAATCAAGTTAATTTGGTGGGCAAAAGCAGTTTTCTAAGCTACCTCAGTGTTTGAAGCCTCCTCATGCTGTGTCTATCCTGGTGCCTGAAGTGATGCTGAAATACAATCATACTTTGTTTTAAAAAACTCAGCTTCCTTCAACCAACTGCAGAATGTTTCAGTTTTCATAAGCTCAGTAGGTTGTCTTAAAGCATACAAACAAGTGCAAATCTTAACAACTGCCTGTTTGTTGACATAGGTTTTGACTATATGCTTTTAGAAACAGTGATTTATGAGGAGTACAAGGTATAATATGAGAACAAGTGAACAACCCACTTAAAGCAGTATAATTAATGGTAAAGTCCAACAAAATCGGGCTTTGGATCTGACTAAAAGTTAATCTTGTTCTGTTACCTAATTTGTGATAGTTTAGAAGTGTCTTTAACTTCTGGTTAGCCTCTAATTCTTCAGAAGAATAAGAACTGTTGCAGGAGAGTATTTGCGCTCTAATCAGTAGTTGTCTAGAATTTATTTCGACCTTGAAGCTGAGGGTTTAATTTTGTTTCAGAATTGTTATCACTGTTCTGGAAATTCTTGATAAACCTATAAATACTTAGTCCCATGTGCTTCTGGATTTGTGGCAATGGTTCTGAAGTTCAGAACTGGATAAAAATATTCACTTTCTTGGGATTGACTTGCCTGGTCCTCTGTCACAGGAAAACTTGTTCTGCTTGCCTTTTGCTATTCTAGAGCAGTCCATGCAACGATTTGTTTTAAAATGTTTATGTTCTTTGTACTGTTTACTATCTTACTACATATACATTTACTTTTTTCTGTAGGATCATTTTCTTCTTGTTTTCTTCTTGGACCTTTGGCTACTTTTAATAAGGAGCAATGCAAACACTTTACAAATAAAACTATCTTCTGAAAACCTGACTGTGTTCATCTGATGTCCATGACATAAATACTGTGAAGAAGCTAAAATTAATTTTAGAAGTGGTTTAAGTGAAAATAATTAATTGCATTTATTTTGACGCAGGTATGAAAACTCAATGGGGTCATCCAAAAATGTAATAAGTGAGCCTATTGATGTGGAGGAAGGCTATAACATGATGGTAAGACCTTTGGCTACTGTGACAGTGTGGTAGGATTTTTCCTACTGCAAGAAAACCTAATTTTTCATGTTGGGATTCGTTGATAAATCAGTTAATTTGTACCTTCTCTGAAAGTGTTCCTTCTAGAAACTTGAATCATTTTAATTTTTTAACACCGTAATGAGAAACCTTCAAAATGAATTTTACTGTAGGAGAAATTTGAGCATTTCTTCTGTTTTTGCATCATTTCTAGCTGTGTCAGTACACGGGTTTTTTTGTACCTCAAGGCGTTTGTTTCAGCTGGTTCCCATTTTAAACTGCTTTCATCAAACCTGTGCTCTGGTGTAAGGCTATAGTATTTGGTTACACTAATAGAGTGGTGTTCTTTGAAGTAGCTGAGGTTAGAGCTGAAGTCATTTTCTTTGAGAATGCAGTGGATGAAACCAGTGGTTTTATTTACAGCAATGTATTGTATGTATAAACACCATTAAAACAAGAATCCTCATAAAAGGTCTTTTAATAGTCATAGCATGCAAAGAAGTAGTGTAGACTAAATAACAAAAATCTGCTATTGAAGGTTAAAAAAATTGCTAGTCAGTCCTTTTGCCTAACAGATGGTTGTATCTAGAGGACTTTGAAGAACGTAACTTCTTTGGATAGTTAAGTAGCGAATAGGAGGGATTCAGGTTGAAGAAGCAGTCAGAAACCTATGTATCAGTATCGCTTCACTCATATGAAGGAGGGTATTAAAGCTTGCTATTGTCTAGTCAAATGAAAAGACTGTGTTGATACCCACTATGGCCTTGGGCACAATAGTTTACGCTTCTCTGTGCCTGTACACTTCATTATTGCTAACTGTCCCGTTAAGGCCTCCTTTAAGGGCTGGTTGTTTTCTTTTGACTGACATCTGAGTTATGGGGACTAGAAATTTAAGTCAGGCTCTGGTTTCATGATACAAAGTAGTTTGAAATGTCATGTTGAGATACTTCTGCTTTCCTTATAAGCCTTCTGGCTTGTAAAAAAAAAATAGTTTAAAAAGTCAGTTTGGTGTGGACTAATGCAAAGTTTTACACTTACATGGGAGTAATGGTCTCCAGAAACAAGGAGAGGAACCTTGGGATTATAGGAGGTTGTATGTGCAACAAGAGAAATTCTGCTTATATATTAGGAAGAGTTGGGTCTACTCTGACCAGGGGATGAGGACTTGGGGAGTGGACTAGACCTGCAGAGGTCCCTTCCAGGCTTTGTTATTCTGTGACTGTGTAAGTCGTGCTAATTTATGTGTGATATGTCATGAGATATGTGTTATGATTATATCATAAGTGATGAAAAGGTAGTATCATATTGCAAAAAAAACCCCCCATGCATCATTTTGAGATGATAAAATGGGAGCATCATCTATAAGATGTGAATAACCTGTCCACAGTATTTAACGTTGAAAAAGTCTTCACTAAAGTGTTTGTATCTGCTTTTGGATGTATTTCAAAGGCAGATGTGAATCAGTTGGAGGCAATCTGGAAGAGAAAACTGTAAGTGCTCAGATTCAGAAAACTTGAAATCTGACATCTGGAAAGCACGAGAAAAAAGATTAAAGGAATAGCCGTGGTAACCCTGGAAGATAGGAAGACCGATGAGAGGTGAAGTGGAATATAACAGTGTAAAAACATAATAGGAAAGAAAAAAATTCAAATGATTTCCAAGTTCTCTGTGTATGACAAGATTGAGTGGGCTTATGCAGTAGGAAAGCCATAGTTAAATATTACGTAGATTGTGCCGAGTGAACGTTGTCACTGAACACAATAAATGAGGAAAGACTTACTGTTTACTTAATTCATTTTGGGCAGTTGGAGATGCCGCAGATTAGCTTTACTTCCAGCTAAGGTGTGTGTTTGGGTCTTTTTTTTAAGATTTGAGAATAAATTAATGTAAGATGTCTGAACATTCTTCTCTTGGTTTAAGACGGACACGTTTCAGAGACAATTAAGTTAAAATTATTTGACTCTGTTCTGAAGTAAGCTACCATAAGTATTTACATTGGGAGTTTATACAGTAGTTTAAAGTGATTTTAAAACAGTTAAGTGACATTTGTGGATCTTTAGCTCTTGGGTCGATGATGGAGAGCGTGTCATTAAGCAACAAGGGATTAAAAACCCAAACCAAACTCAATTCAGCAGAAGTGATCACTCTTACTAAAAATTCCTAGCGAGAATAGGCAATTAATTAAATAGAGTAAGGATAGACTAGAGCCAGTTTAGTACAGGTCCTGGGTTTTTTACATACTTTGCTTGGGTTTCTTTGGGCCAAAACATATAATTTGCTTTCTTTATTTCATTGGGTTTTCCAAAAGTTCACTTCAATAGCAGTTCCATTTTTTTCTTTGTTCTTGTTGTATTACATGGTGATAGCTCTAGATAGATCTGTGGAGCACTAGATGGCACACTGTGGCTTTGAAACAAGCAGTTGAGGACATCTGGATGAGAGAAACCCAAGTTAAATCGTATTATATAAGCATTGAAAAAGCAGTTTCCCATTTGTATTGTGCTTCCTACCACCTTGATAAGTTATACCCACTCATCTACTCTGGTCATTTTTACTGTATTTTCTTTCTAAAGGTGGACGAGTACTTTAAACAAAGTAGTTGCAGGCTTGAGTCATATGATGGTAAGAACGAGAAGAGGAAGAATCCATCTTCTAATTAGTGTTGTAGACAATCAGTCTGTTTGTGCCTAAAGTAATATTTAGATTTATGTAACTTCTTTGTGGTTAGGTTTGTCAGTGTTTAAAGAGAAATTAGTTGGTTGTTTTTGTGCTATCACGGTACATACATTTCTCATTACATTATGTAGTTTGGCTTTGTTTCAGATTATTTTCTGAGGAGTAACTTGATACACTGTAGAAGAGGCAAGATTTTATCTAACTGACATCTGTCAGTTGATACAAATATTTCTTAATATATTTGATTTCCAATGTCTTGCGATGATGTTATTTGCAAGTGCGAAGAAATATGTTTATTACGTAAACAAAGTTCATCCTCAGTGTCTCTAATTCTGTCTTTGAACAGCTGCACCTTTCTAGTAATAACAGCTAACTTTAGTTGCCAGGAAATACTTTATAGGTTCTTGTCTTCTCAGTGAAAGAGACGTGTTTGGTTTTTTTATGTGTTTCAGGTAGTTAGGTAAATCTCATGCCTTTCTCCAGGCTCTTTCCAGTCAGCTAACACATGTATTTTGGTCTCATGCAGCTTTTGTCTTGAATAATAAGTTCTAATTAACAGAAGGTAACTAAAACATTTGTGAAGTCGTCTGCGATGCTCTAGCAGCGTTGACAATCAATTAAATGGAGGTTAAAAATGTGTGGCGTAGACATACCCATACTGAGGGCTGGCTAGCAACTCTCATGTCATGTTGATGAATCAATCTGCTTATCATGCAGAAAAATGGTTATGAAAATGAATATGTACACCTGTTTCAGGTATTTGTGGAAGATTCAGTACATGCATACCCTACTTTGGATGGTTTAATCACATACTGGATGAAAGTAACATATCAAAACAAAAATTTACATAATTTTTTTCCATCCCTGTATTTCTTGTTTTCAGGCTTCTTTCCAAAGATCTAATAGCCATGACAAAGTGAGGAAAATAGTTGCAGAAGAAGGACGTACAGCAAGGAACCTAATTGCATGGAGTGTTCCACTGGAAAACAAAGAAGATGATGGTATGTATTCAACAGTCTTCCACCAACTTTTTCCGCTTCCATTCCTTTGTCCACTGGAGTTGCTTCCCTGGAAACATGTTTCTTACATAGGATTTCTCTGTAAAAAAAACAAACAAACAAACACGGTTATGTTTAGCATGCATAGCATGATTTTAAAGCTTTTTTACAAAATGAACCCTGCAGTTGACTGATCACTTTATGAAGTCTTCACAGTGACAGATTAAAAACTGCTTTCATTTTGTCTGTAAGCAACATCTAAGACTGTTCTCTTTTGCTGATATTACCAAAATACTTGTATAATATAATAATGTTGTCTTAAACTGATCTCTTCTAACTTGGGAATTAAGAATTGTAGGGATGGTATAGAACAATCCAACAACTTGCTTTCTGTGCTCTAAATGAATTAAGTTTGGAAGTTTCTTTTGGTATCGCTTCAGTCTTTGGTAAACATCTGTGAAAAATCTTTAAGGCAGGGGATATGTGGGCACAGTTTTCCATAATGCAGGTCCTCGAAACAGTTTTGTTACTGTTGTAATATTCTCTGGTGGTATGATGACTTAAGGAGCCAGGAATTGACTTTAATTTTCATACTGCTTAGGCTGTTCCAGATGTCAGAATGCTGTTTTTGAGGACTTCATCTGAAGTATTCTTGTAGCTCACGTGCCCCTGTGCAAGTGCTGCTGCTTTTAAGACCTAGGCAGGAGTGTCTAAAAGTAAATTTATTTATTTTCCTTCTTTTTCCTGTGAAGGTGGTTGAACACTGGAACAAGTTGCATAGAGAAACTGTGGGCAATCTTTGCCCTTGGAGATGCTCAAAACCTGACTGGACATAGGCCCAGGCAGCCTCCTCCAGCTGACCCTGCTTTAAGCAGGGAGGTTGGACTAGATGATCTCTAGAGGTTCCTTCCAACTTCAGCTGTTCTGTGATTCTGCCAGTGGAAAAGATATTTCTATGGAAAGTTGTTTCTAAGTTACAAGATAATTAACCCTATGTCTGAAGCAAACTGACATAAAGTTTGAACTGGTTTTGACTTGCTTCATGCATTAAGGTGTATTAGTGATTTTTTTTTGTTTTGTTTTGTTTTTTGTTTTAAAGCTGAAAAGTCTAAAGCCACAGAAGACAGTGAGTTACTTGAAAACCTGTTTAGATGTTTGTACATGGGCATGTGTATAAGTTTTATTAAGGAAATTGCATTCAGTTCAGAAGGCATAGCTGTACCTCTGTTGAACAGTGACAAGCAGAATGACAGTTAACTTACGGTAGTCAGTGAAACATCCTAAACCTAATTACAAGTGTCCACATTTACAAGCTTTGGTTTCAGGTTCTGACCCTTTTACTTCAGTGTTGTCCCAGGTATCTTAGTACATTTTGTATAGCAGCATTTTTAGTAAGCACTAACTGGTCAGCAGG